CGATTGCTTCTTAGAACACCAAAATGTCCCAGAAATCCTAACAGGCCTTGGAACCGCATTAGCCAAGTCGCTGTGTGCATCTGGGAGTAAAGCACAGGCATCATTTGTTAGATAGAGTCTGTGCCTAATTGTGGTTTCGGATATGCGATCACTGTATCTGTGAGTCTCCAAGGAGGTTACTTCAAGCCTATTAGCAGACTGAACCGCAGACCTCTGCCGTTTATGTCTCAGATACGCAGCCACCTTGAAGAAAACGTAGACTCGTGGAAACGTAGCTCATCGGAAGCCAAGTTGAAATGAAAAGGAAAATACACGCGGTGATCCAATTAAGAAACTCGGAGGAAGGATTTCTGTGGATCCTCCCCCACCCTTCCCCTCTTTTCCAAGTCTCTTCCTACATGTGTTTTCCTTCCTTCTGCTCACTCATGACTGAGCCTTAGGCCGTAGTCCTTGGTTTCTCTTATGCCAACGGGTACAAAGGGCGGTTATTCAGAATGGCAAGAACATAATCACCTGTAGCTATTGATAAAATAACTCATTTAGCAAATAAAGGTCGGCGCTTGCTTGTTTCCTTCCTTTCTTCCTTGCAGTTGTTTTCTTTGTAAGAATTAAATAAAGGGATCTTTTGAAAAAAACACACACAAAATAAGTTAGAGTAAATAGAAGTAACCTTTCCTGCTTGTGAAGGGAGTATTAAGTGAAAGCCAGAAGAGCACTTGTCTTTGGTTGGAAGGTCAAGGGATAAAGCAGTTCTTTATCAGAACTGGACGCAGTGGAAAGTCTTGGAATTTTCCAAGGTTGTTGGCCTCCGGTACTCCTCAGATCTCTTTCCCCATGGAAATTGTTGAGGGGGTTTAGATTTGCCTAATGGTTTCATCAGATCTGTTTGCCATGTGTCTTGATATATAAATCTGCTGCTTTCTCCTATTACTGAAAGTCTGGATTTATTTATTGTATGAATTTGTTTCTGGACCATCCTAGCATCATTTTGTATCATGGTGATTAAATCCCAATTTGGATTTCCTTGTTTGGAGGTGCTGTGGTAGCAATAGATTGCTGTCACCTGGGCCTTCAGTCGGCGTGACGGGCATTCACCAGCTTACTCGTTCCCTCTCTCTATTTGGTACTGTCCTCGGAGCCCTGCGTCCATCTCCCTCCTCCCACACTCGGCTCTCCTTTTCCTGGTGGTTCTATTATGCATCTGTTTTGCGCTTGGTCATTCAGTGAGCTGAAGTATGGGCCATTAAAAATAAGTAGAGCCGGGAAAGATGATAAACCCAAGCAAGGCAGTGTGGAGGTCTGAGGCTGAGACCAGGGACACAGAGCAAAGCAATGATGGAGGTGGAGCAGGATGCGGGAGACCTCGCTAGGAGAGGACCTCCTCACCTCATCGGAGAGCATGAGTGCTGCCCAGGATCTGCTGGCCTAGCCACAGGTACTGAAGCCCTTGATCAGTTGGCTGCAGAGGCGTTGTTGGCGCAGAAGCAACCTGCTGGGGTGCGTGTTATCACCATGGGGCGGGGTGGTAAATGTAACTTCACCCCTTCTCATAACTATTTCCAAGTCTCTCTCTTCCCCTCGGACTGTGGAGTCAACACCAGGATCTGACAGTTCATTCCTGCTATCCCCAGGCCACTGTTGAGAGTACATGCTCAGTCCTTAATTCTTGGTAGAATGATTGAAAAGATACAAGATACCGGAGCCTTGCTGCACTGCATCTTCTAACAACACAAGTAATCGTGTAAAGGATTCGTGAAGACTCAGTACAAGTATGTGAACATGTTTTCCCTGCATGCGAGAATATGAGTCGGTCCAATGAAAGATGAAATGTTGTGCTTTGTGTGTCTCTGGAGCAACGTTGTGGGATCACAGAAGAAAAAGATGTGACTTAGGAAAGTTGCAAGAGCCTTGAAAATACTGGTTGTGGTGCATGGAAGAAAAACCAAAACCAAAACCAAATTAAAAAACCCCCAACCTATAACACTGGAAGAGAAGACCGTAAGATCAGGCCTGATGCCAAAAGGGATGAGTTGGCGACCGGGACAGACCATTGCCAACGCACCTGCTCGTGGTCCCACACGCCTCCGAGCTTCTGTTGTTCCATGGCGTTTGGAGATGAACCTGTTCCCAGTGTTGGCCTGCACCAAAGCAATGGTTTTAAAAAGGCTGCATGTTTTCTTTCTATTCTTGTTTGCACCCTGCCACCCGCTGTTTACAGGATTGGTCTCTCACGCTCCACCTGGGGTGCTTTTTATTTTTATATGGTTCAGATTGCCAGAGGAGTCTTTGAGCTGCTGGGTTTTGAAGAACGAAGAAGGCCTGCAGCCTGTGGGATCTTAGTGAGCCATGGCATCTCCCCAGGGAAGAGGCACGTAGCATTTAGGAACTCTTGGCCAGCTGCACAACTTTGCACATTCAAGTGTATTTGACTCCTGAAAGTGCCTGCTTGCATCTCATTACAGAGATCTGGGCTGCAGGCGTAGAAAACATCAATAAGGGAGGAAGTTAGAGAGAGGAGATGAGCGGGGAAGAAGCAACTGTGGTAGTGTTGCCAGATGAGATACAAGATGCTCAGTTAAAGTTGAACTTCAGATCATCAAAGGATCACGTTTGAGAATAAGAAGGTCCCATGCAATGTTTAGGACATACTTATACTAAAAAATGACTCCTCGTTGATCTGAGATTCAAATTACCTGGGCGTTCTGTGTTTTTATTTGCTAGGTCCGGGCAACCCTAGATTGTGGGGATTGCCCGTAGTTCTGATGATCAGAAGAAGAGGAGAGAGTGAAAGAGGCTGGACTGGAGAGAAAGGTCCCAGGAAAGCTCAGATCTTGTACCATCGTAGAGTCGAGGGCGGAATGGGTTTCGGGAGGGCTGAGCAGAAAGGTCAAGGTCATTGCACTTGGCAACCTGGGTATCACTAGGGACCTTGGAGAAAGCAGATAGAGGTCTGGTTGCAGTGGGTTAAGGTGTAAATAAAGTCAAGGGAGACAGAAAGCATCAGGTGTAGACCCTTCTTTTAGGAAGTATGGTGGAGGGAGGAGGAGGGGTGGGATGGCAAAGGGTAACGAAGCGGAAGGCAGTTTGCAGGATTAGCGAGACCAGGCCTGTCTCTGGGCGTTGGAGAAGGAGCCTAGAGAAGTGGCATCCTGAAGGTGGAAGGGGCGTGATGGGGTGAGGGGTGGGCTGGGCTGTGGTGATGGGGAAAGGGGGAATCGGGGCATAATCGGAGGCCTGGAGGACACTCTCCCTTCCTCCGAGTGAGGAAGGAAGAGGGGAGAGGATGAAGATCTGGAGGTTTTCAGAGTAGGAAGAGCAAGGACGGCTTTTTATTTTTTTATTTTTTTGCTGTCTGACCATGGTATGGAGAGTGCATTTATGGAGGAGGGATTAGAGGAGCAGGAGAAGACTCGGGCCCCAAATATTCCTGGTTTGCTGACTGCACAGGGCAGATGTGACAAGAGCTCAAAAGGCGCATATAATTCATCCTAGTGGGAACCATTCAGGTTCCTCATGTTGTGGCTTCCTCCAGCCCTAACGATCCGTATCGATTTATAACATAATTAAATTGCTCACCGGGGAAAAGAAAATAACAGAAACAGAACTGAACAGATTTGCACTCCTCCATTTCGTTAAACCAGGAGACTGGCCATGAAGGGATCAGGGCCATTTGTCCGCGTCTCTAGTCGTAGAAGGGGGGCAGCAGGGATGCCCAGCAGATGGCATTTGGGGGAACACGTGGAGCTCCTAGTCTGTGAGTTCCTGTCTCTACCATGCAGATTGTGTCACGTGGCGTTAATGACTATGCCACATCACACCCAGCATACCAGGGACTCACAGATGTGCAGGTGACACACACTGATCCCAGCTACCCTGGCTCTCTGGGAGCTTAGGTCAAAAGGTGGCCCGGCTATTCTGCAGGGCAGAGGGTGAAGTTGAGGAGCAAAGCAGCCTGCAGTCTCTTAGCTGCTTTTTTTCTCATTTGCAGCACAGGGAGGGAGCCATTTGCCAAGTTGCAGAAGCCTGAGAAAGCTGAGGAAGAGAGTTATTTCCGAGAGGGGTGGCGTGGTGCGGCCGGCCTGGGGAAGCCCTTGGCGTCACCTCCTCCAGAGAACATTAACTTCTCCAGCCCCTTGTCCACAGCCTCTCTCCCTCCTCTTCGCCCCAACACAAAGACACAAATGAAGTTCCTAAAAGCAGACTACTCCTGCTTAGTTATTTTTAGTATTTGCTGTTAGTATTTATCAAGCTCTTCAGTGTCAATGTGCCCTCCCACCCGTTTCTCTTCCTGCCTCTGTGCTGGGCTTGGGGTGGAAGAGGCATGTGTAACCAGCAGCTGGTGGCTTCATACAAACACCTCCTAGAGAGAGGAGACTGTGGACCTTTAAAATCAATCTCCCCACCCCCCGTTTGGAGAGAAGAAAGGTTTGCATTCTGTTAGCTTTGGAGGGAGGAAGTGTTGGTGAAAGTGCGCCCTTTAAAATGTCCAGGTGGTGTTTAGTTAGGTCAAGGGCCCTGGTCAAGGAGCTGGGCTAGAGAACTCGCACATGCACACATGTCATAATACAGGCAAAATGATTTGGAGGCCAAGCGAACAAGCAGAAACCAGAAGAAGCAGATACCAGAGGAGAGAGAGAAAAAAAATCCATGCAAGTCCCTGGGATCTGAGCGAGCTGAAGGGCTGCAGTAACAGGAGGCGGTGGAGTGATCTACCCTCGCCTCCAGGGATAAACCTTGCCTAATTTAAAGCCACTCAGCACGGCATGGGGACTGGTTCAGGAATGGGCCATCTGAGCGACCTCCATCGGAACTGGGACAGTCAGCACGCTCGCCCTGCCCTCTTGGGGATGGACGCGTGGTCTTCAGCTGCTGCGGTGATTATGTTTGTACCGTGAGGGGGCAGCCGGAAGCTCCCGTCAGTCTGCAGAGAACACCTGTGCCCAGAGAGCTGCAGAGATCAGATGATGTGATGAGCCTCCGGTTTCCCAAAACCAACCCTCCATCTGGCTTTCCCCCCAGTTCAATGAACCAAAGTCTTTTGGTTTTGTTGTTTATTTGTATAAGTGAGTTTGAGTTGGGTTTTCTGTTACTTACATCCAGAAGATTGCTGAATGATAGTTTCTCCATATATTTCAGGAAAAAATTATATATATTATTTTACATGTTATTTATTACTTTAAATAATGTATATACTTAAAATAATATATTACTTAATATATTACATTGTTATGTGTGTGTGTATATATATACATATATATAAAAAATACATACATATGTGTATATATACATGAATTTATTCTAAAGTTTATAGTCCTTCCAGGATTAAGGCCATAAGGCCTGAATGTTACTAAGAATGCTTGTTTCTCCCAATAAAAAATTACCTGCATAGCATCTGTCCAAAGGACTTTAGACCGTGAAATGCCAGGACATGAGGCCTGCTCTTCTGAGGACTGTACCTATCACCCCCTGTAATACAAGATTCACCCCTGAGTACTTTGAGCCACAAAGACCCATAGGCTGAAATATGTCAGTGTTCTTGTAGGTATGTTTCCTGTTTCCTGTTGGCAAAGGCAGCTTCAGAAGAATTAAAAGAGCCTCACATAAACCGCTTTTCTGAGCTGTCAACTCTTCAAGTGAAGTAGTCATTAACTATGAGTGATCTCAGTTGCAGGGCCACAGAACTGCTGGTGGTCAGCTCTGCCGTGATACTGTGGGAGGCTCCGGGACCCAGGCTCTGCGAGGCTGCGTATTGTGAGTTACTTTCTTAACCTCTCTGAATGCCTGAGTTTTCACTTGTGCCAATTAAGATTCACAACGCAGAGTTATTGCATCCTAGTTAGGTTGTTGTGTGTCTATATGCTTTGGCATTTGGTAAATGGAAAATGCTAGCTTATATGTGTCATTAAGGCTTCGTCATGGGGTATACATTTCCATTTTTAACTCTTGGTAAATTTATGTTTCGGAAAAGAAAATATGTACCCATTCTAATTTTTTAAAAAATTCTGTTCTCTTCTCTGGTGACTCTGATTAAATAGAAACTTTATTTAAGTGTAAGAAATTTACTTAAAAGTCAGAACAAAGCAGGATAAACTGAAAATGAAGTAAAAATCTGTCTTGCTTCCTGGGAAAAAAAGGCAATATGTCTGTGCCCCTCCCTTCTTCCCAAATCTCCTCATTTGGCATGAAAACTTTAAGAGGATACTGTGCACCAGGAGGATGGGATGTTTTCTAATTCAGAAAGGATTCTTCTGAAATTCTCCTGTAGTGAAATCATTATAGCAGCAACCACAATAGTGAATTTCCTATTAAGACAGGAACATCATTGCTTTCCTAATGTGTTGTTGTGGGTCTCAGAAGCCATCTTGTTGAATATTTAGGAAATTGGCTTCTCAGAAAGGAAATCTGGTATATTAATTTTATGGATATTTTTCAAAATATGCTTGTGGCCCCTAATGAGAGCCAGCCAGGATTTGGAAGCAAAGTGATAGGGCTTAGGCCCTGGAAATACTTTTTGTGTGTGGCTGTTTGTAAACAAGGCATGAATATTAATCTAATATTTACTTGGCCAAATAGTTTTATCTGAGGAGCAAATGATAAAAAGAAAATAAATGTGGGCAAGAACCAACTCTTATTTTGTATTTTATTGCTATTGCAGGGGAGGGAGAGAAGTTGATGTAAAATGAAACATAACTGTATTTGATCATCCCACCTTCTTTAACCCCATCAAGTCTCTGGTTTATTATTAGGTGAGCAACATGGCTCATCTGAAGGTCACAGAAAGTGAAAGTGCAAAGTCTTTATTCCAAATTTGGTAGTCCAGTCCTCTCAGTGAGATCTATAGAGCAGTAAAGAAATATTTGAAGTTGTGCTAAGCAAAATCTAAGGTTCTGTGGTTTTTTCCTCTCCTCGTGACATGCAGAAGTAAGTCTCCACCCCAGTGCATTTCTCCTGGAGGCCAAGATAGAATTGTGCAGTTTAGTTGGAAGGGATCAGGCAGCCCGAGGGGCTGTTACTTCTTGTGATTCTCTGGTTGAACTGCATGTGGCTATTGCACCCCTAAATGTGGCAGTAGCCATGGCATCAGTTCCTTGGATCTTTCTTAACATCAAACTATAGAATAGTAGGAAAATGCCGGAAGGGAATAAAGCTTGAGTGAGATTCAGCATGAGAACCTCCCCCCTGGACCTGGAGGGGGAGAGAAGCAGCGTGTCTGCTCTGGGCCTCCGGTCGTTTCTGCTTCCCCTCAAGCGTCCAGGGATTTCTGGAGTTGTGCTTAAGAGTTCCACACGCTCGAATAAAAATGGCCTAGCGACAGAGGTCCTGATAACAAGAGGTAGGGGAGATATCTGTGTTAACTACTTTAAAGTGAAGCATATAAATAAATTTCAGGTTTATAATTATTTCTGCTTTCCTGTTGTCTAGGTGTCTCTCTTTAGCCCCTTTAGGCTGGAATCATTCTGTCTGGATCCCCAAGAATCTCATACTTTTTCCAAGGTTTCCTATGTGACTAACTTCTTAGTTATGGGATATTATATGGAATTATGTTTTCCTACAGTTCTCTGCATTGAAGACCTCTTTCTTGCTCCCCGTCTTTAAAGGAATACTATCTAATCCTCTTAGTCTAGGAGTTCACTGCTCTTTATTTTTAATATTCCATAAATTCTCCTCTATCGAAAACACCTATTTTGTCAACAGAGTATCTTTCATTCAGGAACAGTAATGGGGCTAGATTATCTCCGAGGCTGGACTCCAGATATCCAGATGATAATTAGGATATGCCTCCAGATGTTTTCAGATACAGACATAGAAACAAATACTCACTAGCCAAATAACTGATTTCCTGGCCGCCCTTTCCCATCCCGTTATGTTCTTAATGCCCAAACAGCCAACAAATTAAGTGGGGGGCGGGAAGCAAACTGCTTGTTTATTAGTATGTAGAAAAAAGAATAAAAAGCAGTGATTTCTCAGCAGTTTTAACAAGTCCTTTTCATGCCATAGGCTTCAGAGACTGTAGTTTGCAGTAGATAAATGATGATTTCAATTAACCAAAAAGTGTCGATTAAGAACCTAACTTGAGCCCAAAGAAGAATGATACAGTGGAACATGGACTCATAGACTTGGAAACAGATTATACCCCTAGAAACACAATTCACTTATTCACTCAATAAATATTGGTTGAGCGCTTGCTGTCTGACAGGCACTGCGCCAAGTGATGATGACATTAATGGGAAGGGAAGCGAGACAGACATGGCTTCTGCCCACAGCCGAGTGGTACGGGGCGGGGAGAGACATGAATCAAATAATTACACAAATATATTTCACAAATGTAATAAGCCCTCTGGTGAAAGCCAAACCAAACCAAACACGAGAAGCCATGAAACTATAAAATACAGGCATACACCTAGTGTAAGTGGTGATCAGGGAGGCCTTCCTGAAGAAATCTGGGGGGGCTGGGGAAGGAGAGGAGGGGGCTCTGGGCAGAGGCTCTGAGACACAAGAGAGCATGGAGCTTTCTGGGAACTGAACCAAGGCCAGTGTTGCTGGGGAGCAGGGGGGCCTGGCGTGAGGGACGCCAGAAAGGTGGCCGGGGCAGATCATGAAAGACCTAGAGAATGAAGGAATGGATATGGATAGCTAGTGACACACAGTGAGTCCTGTTGCCTCCTGTCATGAGCGTGAAGATAAAGGACGTCTGCAGTTGTCTAATGACTCTGCTGTGTGGGAGATTTCATTCGTTCATTCACTCACTCATTTATTTTATTTACTTATTTATTTATTTTTAATCCTCACTTGAGGAGTGAGGATATTTTCCCCCCCACTGATTTTTAGAGAGAGTGGAAGGGAAGGGGGGAAGGAACATCGATGTGAGAGTTGTACCCTTGAAACCTGTATAATTTTATCAACCAATGTCACCCCAATACATTCGATTAAAAAAAAAGGAAAAAAGAAATATGGCCCATGTGAAATTTGGATTATCTTGACTTTGTTTTTCCCTCTTTATCGGATCTTCATTTTTTAATCTTTCTTTGATTACTCGTTCAATTCTTGGAAAACAGAAGAGACAAAGGAAAATCAAGTCCCTTCCATTCTATTGATCAGTAGCATAAGCCTTTTTTCTTTGTTGGACTTTCTTCAAAGCAGTTGGTAATATATATTGAAATTCCAAGAATCCTAACATTAAAAAAAGAATAATTTTTTCCACGAAACGTTTCTCAGATTTTCTCAGTTGGAATTAAGCTCTCTTTCCCCCTCCCTTCCCCCTCTCTCTCTCCCCCCACTCTCTTTCCTATAATGCACTAGACTAGTGCTTCTCAAACTGTCTATTGGAAGGAATAGATTTTTTTTTAATTTCCAATTTATCAATGGCCAATATATGTCCTCCTGTCCATGACCAATCCTTAGATCCCACCATGTGAAATTCATATGCAAGAGTGACGATCATTCAGTGAGGCGAGGTGAGTCCACCTGACCACACCTTCCACTCGGTCGCATGTTGGATGTTGTAACAACGCCCAACTACTGTAAAAATGTCCGACGGATTACTTGCAATACCTGTACTTTCCTCTTGCAGTCTGATAAGAGATAGTTCTGGGGGTAGTGCTGGTCCACAGGCCACACTTGAAGCAGCACCGCCCTAGACTCTAAGCTCCATGAGGACAGGGCCTAGGTCTGCTGTTTTCATCACTATAATCCTGGCACCTGTCATTGCCTGTCACGTCGTAAGCACACTTATTATAAGTGGTACTATCACACTACAGATAACAGCACCTGTCTCCAAAGTAGCTTGGATCAGACCTTGATCCCTTTTTAGCACCTACACGATCAGCGTGCCTTATCTGCCTCAGAAAGTAGGAATGAATGAGAATATCAGACTGGTTTTTTAAAAAAATACATGCTCTTTAGTATAAAATGTACTGAAGTAAAACATACCTCCAGCCTCCTCGTGCTGGTATGGCCTTTATAAATGAAGATCACTTGATCAATAATTTAATTTTCTTTCACCAGCTAGTTGCAAAAATCCACTTAAATCAGATTTAAGTGAAACAAAGGGAGATTTTTAAAAATCTAAAACACTTAGCCTGTTAAATAGCAATATTGAGAAATTGTCTCAGAGAATGTATTCCCTAGTAGGGAAAAAAAAAAAAAAGCAACCCACACAAAAAAGCTATATTTAAATCTGAAATGGCTTTTTTTTTAATGCGACTCGAGGGGATACATTGACACGCTTAAGCAGTCCAAAATGGCTTTTCTGAAATGAGAATCACATGGAGTTAGTTTAACATCTACCACTGTAATTTCTACTGGGAAAAACACCTGAGACCTGAGGAACATTTTTCAAAATTTAAAATGTGGCGGATTCAAAAGAAATTACTTGACAATGCTGTTTGAACATAATTCTCTAACTTTCAGTCATTCAAGAGTTTTTCCGACATGTAGAAGTAGCTGCAGTTCAACGTTCATGTTTTTTCATTGGATATTTCATTACATTAAAGTTAGCAGCCAAGAAAAACAAGGCCGTTTACTATATATCTTTTTCCTATCCTTATTAGCTACTTACTTTTCCATGGAACATCTTTTATTTCTGGGAAACATATGGCAGATGACCAGAACCGTAATTAGTAACAGTTTGATGTTATAGGAATTCAAAATTTGGCTATTTCTAGTTTCATTAGATCATTGGCTTCCTCTGAAATATAAAAGCAGTAAATACAGATCCTACGGGTGCATTCTGGAGTCAGCTTTCTTTCTGT